TCTCTCTCTCTCTCTCTCTCTCTCTCTCTCTCTCTCTCTCTCTCTCTCTCTCTCTCTCTCTCTCTCTCTCTCTCTCTCTCTCTCTCTCTACTCTCTCTCTCTCTCTCTCTCTCTCTCTCTCTCTCTCTCTCTTCTCTCTCTCGTCTCTCTCTCTCTCTCTCTCTCTCTCTCTCTCTCTCTCTCTCTCTCTCTCTCTCTCTCTCTCTCTCTCTCTCTCTCTCTCTCTCTCTCTCTCTCTCTTCCTCTTTCTCGAATTAGATGAAGGTTAATCGATTCGTGGATTGATTAAAATCCGCACATGCTGTGTAAATGTTCGTAATTTGGTAGTTTAATTACGGAACGTCGTTTGTGTGCAAAAATAGTTTGTTTTTCAGATTATGTAAAGTTGAACTCGATAAAGCGAGTAATTACTTACAGATTTTCTTATTATACCAAAAGTGTATTTAAAATATTTATATAGAGAGAGAAAGTATACACATTGAGAGGTAAAAGTCTTGATTCTATCAATATTTGTATCTTAATCCGTATTTTATTCATGTAGGAATTTCTAAGAAATTTGTTTGTTCTTTTTAATCTTTCATAAATATTTGCGGCAAACTTTCATCAGTATAAATTTTTCATATTCAGTAACATGTCGAAACATTATTATCTTTTCTCATTGAGAAAAAATATAATTAATTTATTAACTACTTAATTATCTCTTTTATTTGACAAAAAAGTTCGATATTAAGCTGTGAACCGATAAACAATTTGCTTAATCGATTAGCTTGATCAAGAGAATTAAAAGAGCAAGTATGTTCAGCCACGTGTTATAAGCAATGCTAAAAACGAAAAACTCAATATCATGACAAATGTTGAAATAAATATTTCGCATACTTGGAAGCAATTCCATCTGAAACCAGTACTTATTCTCGGAATGTATCGCCTAATTTGCTTTTCTATTTACTGGCGGATCGGTGTAGCGAAACAGCCTGTGGATAAATTAATAACGCGGAAAGTGCTACCGAGAAATGATAGGTCTCGTGACAGGAGGTCCCCACGCTCGGCACTTCCGCTGCGGTACTTCTAAACCACATTTCAAGTAAACATTTCCGATGAAGTAACGTCTAGAATCAGAGTTTCTTTCCCATTTCTTTTTTTTTCACCCGTGTAACGTGATTATACATTAGCTCCGATAAATTTGCAAAACCGTGCAATCAATATCACCACCTACTCTAGTAATTAGTCCGTAATATATATTCTCTCGAAATGTTCCCCGTTCGGAGCACGCGCGATTTAATATTCCATTGCGAAGTAGCTGGCGTTACTTTGACAGCGGTGTAATCCTGATATCGCATTAAGTAGTTAGAATGAATACAAACTACGAATTACTCGCGTGGAATAAAATGTTGGGCGATAAAAAGACGTAGTGCGTGAAATTATAGTTAACTGCACATAATGTTGAATAATCCACATATTTTCTACATACAATTTTTCATTCCTGACGTTTTCACTCGCTGTCGCCGTGATCGTGTTATAAAATCGTGTTATTTTATTTTTGACTCAACATTTTTCTCAGTGAAGCTCAGATTATCTTCACTGAATAATATTTCCTGTGCGATCTCTGTCGCGAGAATTTTTGAACAGTGATTTCTTTCAAGACGGCGGAACGAAGTATCTACTACGTTGAAAGCCGCACCACCATCGATTATCCCGACCTATCGCAGACGACGATAAACCAGACCAAGCCACATTCGAAGGCGATAAACTTTATCGTTTATCAAGGAAAACGAGTAGCGCCGCTGAGAACGCGATACAGTTATTTCACTTGAGAAATTTAGAATCGAAAATGAAAGAGCGATACTACTTTCTTGCCATGTTTTATCCTCGTAAATTAACCTAAACAAGCTTGCGAGCATGCTGCAATAATTGCGCAAATAACATCGAATAAATACCGAATAAAATATAATTCTGAACAATTAATGTTGTACGTGACGCGTATGCAATATGCTCGTGCCTGTTTTTACTCTTATAAACGGCTCGATAATTCGCGTCCTTCGGGACGATTTTTCTATCACGATCGTAAAATAACGTATTTATCACGACGTACTGAATATGGTACCGTCGATTAGTAGATGCTTCTAGGACGATAAAGAGAAGATTGATAAAGCAAAACCAAGGTGCATCGAGCATAATAAATTTTAACTACGCACGACGCGATAGTACTTTATGATCAGCAAGCGGGTGTATTTAAATTTTTCCCGCTTAAATTAGCGACTGAGACCGAGAATTATTTCTTCAACTCGTTTTGTATTTATTTAAAATTAAAACAAAATTATATTCAAAAGCCTCAATAGATAAGAATCAAAAGATCAAGTAAGTAGCCAAAAGCCAATGCTGGATGGTCATGCAAATTCCAAAAAAACGTCATTCAACTTGCTATGAGGCCTTTGATGCATGACTTATATTTATTTTAACATTGAAGAACGTCCTGAAACACTTGTGAAACGTTTGTTTTGTATTGTAAATGTTGTCTAATATATATGCATGACCATCCAGCATTGGCTTTTGGCTATTTACTCGATCTTTTGACTTTTGTTTGCTTTGAAAAATTAAAAATTAAAAATACACGTTTAAGTGTTCCAAATTTTAAAAAATGATGCATTTTCACGAAATTAATCTAAAGACAGAAACGAACGATGGCAATCATTATACATAGAAGAGTTTTTATTAGTTTGTAGACACCGCCTTATAGAAAACTTTGTAATAAAAATCATGTCGATAATGAATAGAGAATTCTCATAAAGATAAAATATTTCACGAAAGCTATCCTAAAAGTCGTTAATTAAGTAAGAGATAACTCTTTATGGTTTTTAAGACATTCCGCCGAGACCTTGCACAAGAGAAACTTGATGGAATCATTTGACGAATTTATTTATTTTAATCTATGAGATGTTCCTTTACGGTTCCGTAATCGAAATGGTATCTCGTTTGTGAACACCTAAGTTATCTTAAAATATTTATAAAAAGGAAACGAAAACTGACGTCTCTCAAATTGCTAACTTTTACTGCTATTTCGTCAACCCATGTGTCATCATGCGATTCCCACTCGAAGCAAGAGCAAATCCAGAATCAATAAATGTGCTGACAGAGACAAACTGTGAGAAGTAATAGTCTGGGAAACGCACGATAGTGAACTCAAATAAAGGGAAGTTCTGTCATTATTTCGGTAATACATCATACGGTCTGCGACAGTAGTTCACGGCGATATCGATCGTCAATGTACGAAGTCTAATGTGTCGAAAGAACCTGGCAATACGTGCGATAGAACTTACATTGTTGCAGCGCAGCCACAGGATGATGGTGTTCGGGTATCTCAGGGGTCCCCCTAATCCGCAGCCGCCAGCGGCGCGTTGGGCTTCCAGAAGTTCGGAGTGCGTTTTTCCGAATTGATGAAAAACCTCCAAAGATCTGTAACGAATTCGATAAAATCTTCATTCGACCAATGTTCTCGATCCCTTTTTTGATTGTCCTAATCCTGCGCATTCACCACTACTGCTTTTTGTATAAAATTACAATGGCGTATGTATTATATCTCATAATCGTCCTGAATCCTTTATATGAACTAAATTGAAGGATAAAATAATATCAGTCACATCTTTTCCATCTTGAGAATCGGTCTTCTTTATGGCTCGAACAAACACTAAATTTAGCATCATGTCGAATAAATAAAAATTAAAATTAAAATTAGAATACGTCGAAGTATATTATTATTTTTAATTTACGTCACTGGTCATTTATGACTTATATATTACATTAATTTATGATTAGCATTTAACGAAGCATATTAGACAATTCGACGAAACAGGAAGACGTCCAAACAAGTAGATTAAAAATATATTTGTTATCACCGGAACAGATAACATCGCGGAAATGGTAAAAATAACGTATGTATGTGTATAAATACAACCACGTACACGTATGTGTAGATACAACCATTATTTGAAATATTCAAGAGCGAGCCGATTTCATCGTCTAGCGCGTTCTCGTAAAATAGAAACACTCGTCTATTTGATCATGTTTAAACACACAAGGCACTAAACTCCGCGATTTAAGACTCACACCCGGCACCACTTTTCGAAATTAGCGAGTATCTCGATGTCTCTCGACTGGATACCCAAAATCAAACTCGGAGATTTATATATCAAATAATCGTGCGACATTCCGCAATGATCCATAATGAATTTAACGCAAGCCATCGTTCGCTCGTGAAAATAAGGGTTCAATTATTAAAGGATCGTTCGTCAAACAATCGGAGAGATTGAAATGAAGCATTTCGCCTTCATAATTAACGATTGTCGCGCGCTCGTTAATTACACAACATATTACACGCTGTAACATCGCGATTCTGATCTCAAAGCTAAAACATTCAACAATGGATTACTGTATCGTACGCAATTAACAGTTTCAGAGAATACATACTATGTTTTAGAAAACAAACACTTCATATAATCCTTATACATATTAATTAGAAATTGTCAGAGCAATTTCAATCTCAATTTACACTGCTCGCCGTACGTGCAATTTCAATGTTTACTCTACAGAGCCTTATTTATTTTTGTGAATACAAACACGGTAAAACGACGATGCGCTATCGATTCTTCGATCAAGTTCATTTACCTGCGGAATGGCGAAAAAGGGACGGCGGCTTAATGAAAGCGGACATGCGACAGAACATGACAAATTTGTAACAAGTGCGGTCGCGTGTATAAATACGCGCCAGCCGGTCATGGAAACAAAAGTCTCTATAAGCCCGGGCCAGGGCAATTTCTAGAATTAACGAAGTCATCCCGACTTTCCGAATCGACGACGAGGGTCGCCTAATTCTGGTGACTGGGTCGCCGTCGACGGATCCCGCGATATATGGACGGAGATTCCGGGGAAGGGAGCAACGGTTCACTTTAACTCGGACGAACTTGTCGACGACGTCGGGTCTAAACGCCGCTTTCTATTTCCGTGGCCGAATCGTCAGCGTCTCGTTCTAAACGGGTCCGACGAGCGGTGGGGACAAAGAGGGAAAAAAGACGAGAATTAGATGCACATCGTTTGCCCGGAGGAAACGGCGCCGCGAATGAGGTAAACGACCGAACGTCTCTGGCAATCGAGCGAAATTTATTGGCCTAGGTTAGGTTATATAGTGTAGACATCCGCACAAAATGAGCACAGATGGTGCATTTTAGGTGTTTATAGATTGTTAACCGTCTTACTTCGAATTATATGAAGATGAATAAAAAAGATTTCCCCCGAAAAGTGTATCGCTAGGTAATTTTTAAAAGATTCTTTCAAAAAAATAAAAAATTGTCAAAATGTGTTAATCAAGTGAAGAAATGAGCTATTGTTTGAGAGAGAAGTTTTATATTAAATGTTTTAACAACGACTTTCCAGACACTTTTTCACTCACTCTCGTATGTCATCCAATAAGCAAAATGTTAGTAAATTAAATCTGATTCTTATTATTAATCTGTCAACATTGCTATCTAAAATTGGAGGAGTAACCAGAATCAGCAGATGAGACAAGATCTTCTCATATAATAAAATTAATGCCAAAGTTAAAAAATAGTAAATATAACAATATAGCAAACATAATAGTAAATATAACCATTAAGAAATGCTTTTAATTAAGAAACTGTTATTAAAAAATTATTGTATTATTTTTCAGCAGATTTTAACCTATAATAAATCTGCAATGAATCCCTTTTTAATTTAAATATCTGTTAAAATTCTTAGAAATGTTTTTCAACAGTAAAAATTGTGAACAAAAATATTCGAATAACACTTTCAGTTATACACGTGAAGTTAGCCCCCCCAATATTATAAGTAATTAAGTTATTTTACATGATTCGATTGCACATTGTTTGCACATAATTGCATATCTTTATTTCGTTTGCACACCTACTAGTAAAAAAGTTATTAAAAAAAAATTGGGGGAGGGCCAATTTCACATTAGCACCCCTAATTTTATTGGGGGGGGCTAACTTCACGCGTATCTTTCAGTTCTGTGGAATCTTCATTACAAAATAATATATTGCATCATTAGAAAAAACAGATAACTCTGCAACAGACATTTAATTCGTTAAAAAACTTCCACCGAAATGCACGATTAAAGAATTACAGGGAGTGCAGAAAGTTTGCGTCTATTTAAAAGAACGGTACTACTCGTAGAGTTCCGTGTAAAACAATTTAAAGTTATCCGGCAACTTCGTTGCTTTAAATCCTACGGCTTGCGCGCTCTCAGATGCTCGACTTTAATACCCGAGTCAGCTGTGGAATTTTAACGCAAAGGATTAAAAAGCAAGATACTTAGAAATGAGGGTGTGAGATGCGGCTGTAGTCGTTTTCGCATCACGTCGTTGACTTTTCTTACAGCACAGTGTGAAAATGCGGAATGGACGCTCGGCGTTGCTCGGAATTATGCAAATGTAATGTCGCACTTCGTGTTTCGCGTTCCTGGATTGGTAGGCGAAATCCGATCGCCTGCGGGAATCTGCCACCGACGTGGAAACGAAGAGACGGGGCATTTTTTTGGAATGTTTATAATGCTGATGGAATCGAAATATTATTTTCTTTCAAAGAATGTCGCGTTAAACGATATAAATATTTATTTAGATGTGCTATATATATTCTGTTTACCGAAAAGAGATCAATAATAATGTATAAATCGAATATTAAATTTCGTGGAAGTAAATATTTTCAGTTATAAAAAATTCATTAATATATATTGTTAATATCTCGAGAGACATTCTTTGCTACCTGAATTGTGTGAATATATTTTTCTGTTATGTTGCAGAGTGCAAAAATATTTAAATCGTTGATTGATAAATAAAATTATATTTAAGAAACTGCCGAAAAAGACTTGTACAAAATGGGGTGAAAATATAAGTTAATTTTTTTTATAAATTACTGATTAATATCTTACAAGGACACGCAATCTGAAGCACGCACGGCATGATGCTCGAAGAATCCTGGGCGTATTGCTATCCTATTCTCGGAATTTACACCGAGCGGTTCGCGCGCGTTTGCAATCGAAGTCCTGTGCGGTCGCCTAAACATCCGGCACGGTATCCCGGCGTTAATTAATCCGATGCTTTCATCGGGCCGTCACAAATAATGGGTCACCTACGGCCCACCTACCCACTTATCAACACGGACCAGTGTCAACGTCTAATAACAGCTTGTAAAATAATGTCGTCATAACTCATTCGAAGACGCGCGATTCTCTTGTATCAACAATCGGCATTGTGACGTGAAAATGTGTCGCTCGTTTTGTGTCACCGGGAGATCGACCAGTCGTAAATATTCTGTAATGTGCAGCGAATGTAATTTACGATAATTAACGAGCCGGTTAACTCGAGACGTCTTCCTTCGTTACATAATAAAATGATACCGAATTACGTAGCACTCGCTATCTTCGAGTCATTGAATAACCATTGATATTTTTTCACGTTCTTTAAGAATGACTGATAATACTGAAACCGAAATGATATGAATAACTATATCTTCTCTTAAAATACTATAAAAATTGCTAGGCCTAGCAATTTAGAATTTGCACTATCTTCACTACGATGCATTGAAATCTTATATTTTAAAGAAAAAATGGTCCAGAATGTTAAAATGTACATTTTATTCCATTTTAGGCACAGGAATTTTATATTATAAATTTGGTGGGCTTAGCATTTAAAAATTCGTATTTTCTTTATTACAATGCATTAAAATCTTATATTCTAAACAAAAAAAATAGTCTCGAATGGTAATCAGCTGATATTGAAGTTCATCTTTAGTTAAAATTCATAAATTTTTAGGTCACATTAATTAGAATTGATGTGCGCTATGTATTATTATTTAAATATTCCATATTTTAAAACATTTGTTTGTTTGTTTATTAAAACATCAGTGTTTTTAGAATAAATGCGAGTATTTCTTACGATTGTCAATTCAGCATAATACTTTTGGAAGTCATTAGAACGAAAAGTTACGAGGAATGTCCGTAGAAATGTCCCGTTGATTAAGCGGAACGCCTTGATGGCCCTCGAGAATGTCCTTACCAAATGTGAAATTTTAAATACGACACTGAGAAAAAGTACAGAAGCCTTTTCTCGTAACCGGTTCATCGGCCGAATTATTGAAACAAATACCTTAGCAAGCCAAAGAATTCAACGGATGAAATTGCTTTGATAAAGATATTTGACTCTCATTAAATAATCTCTGCTTCAATTAAGCCGGTTCATTATGAAACGCCGCAAAGATACCGGTATCGCGCATATATACGTCCGTATACGGATCTTACGGATTTTACCATATATGGAAAATTATACGCTATTTAATGTCATTGAATCCGCTGCAATATACGATACGAAGTTTTGCACAAATAATTTTGCTCCTAGCGTTTCAATATCAAGTATATTTCTCAATCC